GGGGGGGGGGGCTGGGGGGCTATTGAGTGTACTCTAACAGTTTTATTTGGTTATCTAACTAAAATCAGACTAATTTCCCAGAGGTCATGGGCAGTAATCATGTTCATGAAATACTGTATACAATTTAAAATATAGGAAGGGTGGGAGTGAGACATTCAGTTGTATGTATAATACTGTATTTCCAAAAAAAGTTTGAAGAAAATATAGAAAATGTTAACTGAGCTTGCCAAATCTAAGTAATGGCATATACATGTTGTATTAACTCTATGCTTCTGAGTTTTTTTGTGTGTTTTCATCCTCACCTGAGGGTATTTTTTCCATTGCTTTTGGGGGGGGCGGGGAACATCAGTGTGAGAGAGACACATCACTTAGTTGCCTCCTGCATGAGCCCCCAACGGGGACTGAGGATCGAGCCTACAACCAAGATATGTACCCTTGGCTGGAATCGAACCCAGGACCCTTCTGCAGGCCAGTGCTCTAACCACTGAGCCAAACTGGCTAGGGCATACATTAGAACTGCCTATTTAAGTACATTCTCTAGGAACCCTTTTGTAGATACTTGCTTCCACTTGTCTCCTGTGTACATCCAGCTTTCAGTCCATTTTAAGCCTCTTACATGATGTGGCATTGCACATTTTTAAGTGCTCTCTCAGACTTCCTTTCAGTGGACAGTCAATCCTGTGAGGTAGGTGGAATGAGCATTCTTATTTTACAGATGATGGGCCAGGTTTAGAAAAGTGAATTACTTAAAGAAAATAGCTTTTTGGTGATGCAAAAACTGAGCTTCCAAGCATGAATCCTAATCCAAGGCCATTTGCACTGGAATTTTGCTGCTGATAGCAAGACCTGCCTGTTCAGAAGTGGTGTTGGTGATGTTAGGGTGCTCCTTTGCATAGTGAAAATGCATTTTTCTGTGATTTTTCTAGGAAAAATGATGCATTTAAACAATTAAAATCTTTCATCTTTCTGGAAAATAAAATTTGGAAACATTTTTAAAGAATGTGGAAAATAGTTTTGGCACACAGAGGTAGCAGGTTCCTTAAATAAAACACAGGAAATATTAGAGTATTATTTAGAGAAGTGAAAACAGAAGCAAAGAGTTATTGCCTCTGTGGAACAAGGTGGGCGGTCATGGGCTGTGGCAGAAGGTTGCTAGTTTTTTAAACCATGTAGAAGTTTACTTTTAAAGTTTTTAATTTTATTTTAAAATGTGGGTATTACCACCTTTATTCACTCCTACACGCACGCACGCGCACGCTCCGGAAAAAACTCGGGGGATCCAGTGTAAGTCTCCAGTTGTATTTTTTTTCTTTACTTGCTGTAGTCAAGAGTTTTTGCCTGTTTACCCCTAAAAATCTGTGGGATTTTGTTTGTTTTTTATTGTTTTTAAAGAAGTTGGGGTTTATTTTTCCCCCAAGGCTTTTGCAGTCGAGTTATTTTGGTTTGTTTGTATGATCTTTTAGACCTTTCGCTTGACTATGCCTCTCAGCCAGCAAGTCTCCAGTTCCCTCACATAATGCCACTTCCCGAAGACGGCAAAGGCTCTTGCTTTCAAAGTGGGAATAAACGGAACCATGAACCCTTTATTGCTCCAGAACGATTTGGAAACAGCACTGTGGGCTTTGGTAGTAACCTTCACTCCCAGGCACCAGAGAAAGTGACACTTCTTGTAGATGGCACTCGTTTTGTGGTGAATCCGCAAATTTTCACTGCTCACCCGGATACCATGTTGGGAAGGTAATTGATGGTAATTTCCTTCCAAATGCACTCTGCTCCCTATGACTAGAATACCTGCTGTTTACCTTCCTTTAGATATGAGAATAAAAAGCATTGCATTGCTGATTTGTCTATCTCCCTGCTCTGGTGAGACGGAGGGCAAGCTGGTACAAAATGTCTATGTGTTGGTGATTTAGGGGGCTGGGTATTTTATTTACAAATCCAGTATAGTAAACAAAAAAAGGGAGTGCAGCCAGAACTATGAGAAGTAATCTGCTAAATCTCATTCCCTGTTCCTCTGTAAAATCACTCTAAAACAGAAGTCACATACTTAATTTCTTTTATTCACAGTTTTCATAGTCTCACAAAAGCAATGTTTTCTGAGTTCCACAAATCAAAGATACTAGGATAAAGTGAAAGCTGTAAATCGTGTTCTTTTTTCTTTCTTTTTTGGTCTTTTGTCTTTTAATAAAAAATAGAATTAGACAAATGTTTCATAGGACACAACAGCAAAGTCATTTCACTGAAAAGCATGATTTTGCCTGCCACCCATTGCCAGTTGTGCTTGGAAATAGATGATGTACTGTCGTTTTCTAATGCCTCCATCACCATTTGGTTTCTGAAACCGAATCCTTATATCTGGCTGTTCTGTTGTTTCATGATTGTTCTCTTTATGCTTCATGTTTCATTCAGACTGTAGTCCTATCCTCCTCTCACCACCTCCTGCCCCAGCTTTTTAGGGTTAGAATTTAGGAAATGGAAAGAGCCTGCTCAGAAGGAGCACTGTCCACAAGTACCCTTGGAGCCTGGGCTGGAAGTTAGGAGATCCTCTTTCTGGCCAATCGTAGACCCTAACATAAGGAACAGCAAATGGGATAAGAGTAAAATAATAATAATGTATGTGTATATACACACATTTGGCTTTTGAGGATTTTTATTAGAAGTAGATGTTATTTAAAGATCTAACTTCACTCAGGACATTGAACTAATTTGAACCGTATTAGAAATCAGAGTGACTACTTTAATTTTCCTGGATTTTAGGCTAAATGGGATCCAGCTTTTCAAATATGTGTTTATGTGAACATATACATAAAAATTTATGATGAGCTATTTTTAACCAAAACCAAACCTATATATTTCTCAAACATCTGAATTAAGATTAAACTAGTACATTAAAACATCTTCTAAATTGACCCTATATTTTATCAGACTTGACTCCCTGTCCCCAGTCTTGGTATCACCACTAATGCGCCCCCCCGTGTTCCTCAGGGCAGGCTGGCTGAGGTAGGTTTCCTCTGAAAATGGTGATAAAAAGAAGGCAAGCATTTTCTGGGTAATAGATTCCTGGGTAACTGGTTCTTGGAATCTAGGAATGTGTTGTCCCAAGAAAAAGAGAGTCTGATTTCTCTATCTAAATGGTTCATCAGCTGGCTTAGAGTTGGCTTAGATCGTGAGTTCTAAGAGTTTGTTGTCCTGTAGCTACATACAGTGTTCGTAATCCCAGCCAGTGAGCTTACAAATGTGGCCTGCTAGTCACAGGGGACAAGCTGAGAGATCGAGATTGGACTAATGCAAATCCATACCGCTACTGGAGAACCATCTCTGAGTTTAGGTCCTGCTGTTGGTAGGGGGATCATATTTATGGCATGTTCACTGTTTTGATTCATAGCTGTCTCAACTAGACTTCACCCAGAATGTTCTAGGAAAATGTCAGCATTCGTTGAAGACAAGTTTATGAGAATGGATTTCTTATGTACGGTCTAGTGATTTGGAAAGCATGTGATACGGAGTCTTCTTCAGACCTTTGAAAAGCAGCCAATGCAGAGTGGAGGTGAACAGTTTGGAGCAGTTGAACAGCAGGGCTTCCCAGCAGGTTAAGGAAGGAAATGGCAGTGAGTCCCCACTGACAGCTCAGATCAGGCTGGCTGTGGGTGGCAGCTGTCTGCCCTGACCTTCGTGCTGGGTTCCCATTCCACAGAGCAGCAGGAGTCCTAGAAGTCACGGGGCCAGTTTTACGGGAGGGGAACTGAGAGGAGGAAGAAGGAGGGGAGAAGATAAATAAGAAAGGCAAGGCTGCCTCCTCGCGTGCTCATGACCTCCGAGTTCATGCCCAGAGCAGGCCTGCCTCTGAAATACATCAAACTGCTGATACACCTAATGCCCACCCTCCTTTTCTCATTGACCTGAGATTCCCCTAGTTAGTTACTCCTTAGATTGAGAAAGGGCATTTTCCCTGAGCTCCACCATTAAAACGAAGCGGGGAAGGGAAAAGCATATCTGTACCTACTGTACAGATTCACCTATCAGATTAGATGTTGAAAGGCAGAACTCGGGAATATTCAGAATTGACATTCCGGGTAGCTGACTGTTGGAAGAGGAGAGGAAGGAATAGGAAAGGCCGAGAGCATGACACTGTCTCCCTGAGCTGCCCGGCGATGTACAGGCAGATCCTGGACAGTGGGGAGGGCAGGAGAGGCAGCCCTCACATGCTGCAGACACTGTCCGCGGGCCAGCTCTGCACACGCTGCTTTACTGCCTCTGCTGTCACAGAAACTCACCCTGGGTGGACCTGGAGGACTTGTCATGCCCCCTCGCACTCCAGCGCTGAAAGTAATTGCTGCCTTTTCCAGTCTGAAGGGCACTTCCTAAGACTCGAGTCCATCCTGGAGGCTGGGTGCCGGTGCTCTGTTCACTTACACGAGGGGGGAGAGAGTCCTGCTGGAGAAGGTCACATTGTTGCCTGGTGTCTTTCAGGATGTTTGGACCAGGAAGAGAGTACAACTTCACACGGCCCAACGAGAAGGGGGAGTATGAGATTGCTGAAGGAATCAGCGCGACTGTCTTTCGAACGGTGCTGGTGCGCGGTAGCTCTTTGTTACACCCCCTTCCACGGCCACTGGCCGGAGCCCTGGGAGTCCCACCAGGCTGTACTGACTTTAGAGTCTCTAGTTCCCAGTTACTGACTTCCCCACTTTATGTTTTATTCCTGTAACTTAAGTCATCTTCCTGTATGAGCTCAGTCAAGTATCAAGTTGTGGTTAAACATGTCAGGACAGCCAGGAGCCACTTTACCATTTAATGAGCCAACCAATTTGGTGACAGTTCTAGTAACCCATCAGTTGAACAGAACTGGCAATGAATGGGTGTTGAAGAGGTAATTTTTCATCTTGTTCTTTGCCTACATTCTTCCTCCTAATCTATTTACAGGATTATTACAAAACTGGTATCATCAATTGTCCTGATGGCATCTCTATCCCAGACCTTAGAGATACGTGTGATTATCTCTGCATTAACTTTGACTTCAACACTATCCGCTGTCAAGATCTGAGTAAGTACAGGAGCAACTGAACTTAGTTTGCCTGGAAATGATTGGCATTTTTTTATTACTAAACAGAAAGAATTTCAAGTGTGGGTTGACGGTCATTTGCAGAGGCAGAGACACACTATCCCATGCCCTCTCTTGGTTCAGAGCATTTTGAGGAAGTACAGTAAACAAAAGAGAACGTGTAGTAGGTTCTAAATCTTGCTTGGCCCATGAATCACCAAGCTAATTCCTTCCCCTATTGGGACCTTGGTGTCTCAACCTTTTAACAAATAAGGGTACTGATTCTCAGATATGTGGGAAGTCTCACTAGTAAGGTCAAGCAGCATAAACTGGCTGGGTTCTTACAATTATCTTTATCATTATCATTAACTTAGTGTTTGCTAAGTGCTTTATAGCTGTGACCTTGGCGTAAGTCTTATAACAACCCTAAAAGATGGGTGATAACCTCATTTAACAAATGAGACAGAAGTTAGCTTGTTCGAAGCTCTAAGCATTAAAAACTGAGATTAGAACTGATTGACTGCAAACTCCATGCTCTTATCATTACCTACTAGGTTCCCTGAAATTATTTTTAACTTGTTCTTTGAAGCTCATGATACATTTCCCTGCAGAATCCATGAAGTTCTCTGGACTTGTGGTTTCTCTACTGAGTCTAGTATATACTTAGAGCAGGTCCCTTGGTGTCTCCAGATTATTCCTCTTCTGTGGTGCTCTTAACTCCATGAAATTGGGGTCCAGAGCATCTCCAGAAGAGGTACTACACAGAGTCATCCCCAAATGTGGTTCTGTCTCTGTAGAATTAATGTTTATGGTTTGACACTGTATGTTCAACAAAACCTCCATTGATGAGAATGCTCAGGGACTATTAAATATGAGCAAATGGGGGCGTGGGAGAATGTGAAGCATATCGAACAAGATCAGCTTAGTTACCACCTTGGAGCAGGAAACAATCTCTGCTTTCGAATGGTCACTTCTCTAGACCTTCTCAGTGGTAACAGCTACTACCCAGTAGGCTTTTTCACTCCGGGAACATGCACTTGGGCAGAGAGGATGTTCACCTGCATTTTCTCTCCCCAGGTGCTTTACTGCATGAACTGTCTAATGACGGCGCTCACAAGCAGTTTGATCACTACCTCGAAGAACTGATCCTGCCCATCATGGTGGGCTGTGCCAAGAAAGGGGAGCGGGAGTGCCACATCGTCGTGCTGACGGACGAGGATTCTGTGGACTGGGACGAAGACCACCCCCCACCCATGGGGGAGGAATATTCCCAGAGTAGGAGCACCTTCCTGATGTAGATGTTTTTAGCAAGAAACGTAGAGTAGCAGCTAGATCCTAGAACCAACGTGAATGTCACTGTTGAGCCAGTGATGAGCACACTCGCTTGGATGAGTTCAGTGTAGTGATGCAGGGCTAACTTCCACGCCATGGAGCACAGTGAACGTTACACCTTCTGTGCTGCTGGCGTCTGGTACTGTGTCAGTTCTGAGGCCTCACGTTAAATGGTGGTGTCATTCTTCATTTGTAAATCCTTTTGAATTGGTAATAGTTCATACTTTTAAAAGTACAAAAGGATGTACATTGAAAAGTCTTATTCCCACCCTTGCCTCATCCAGTTTTCCTCCTCACTTTCTCCCAGATGTATTCAATGCACATACATAAGCACTTACGTTTTTCCTTTCTTTCAAATGGTACCATATTATACAGACTATTCTATACCATTTCTTATATTAAAGGCGGCCTCCGTGATCTTTTTTAATAGCTGTATAATACTCCATTGCATGATTGTGCCATAACTGATTTAACCAGCCCTGTTGATGGATGTTTAAGCTATAAATTATAAATGATGCTGCAATGAATATCCTTTTACTTATTTGAATTTTTATGAGTTTATTTGAGTCAAACTGAAGACATGTGCCAGAGAGCAAGATCTCAGGTGCTCTGTGAATATCCTTTTAAGCAGTCTTTCACACATGCATCTCTCTGTAGAATAATACTCCTAAAAATGCAATTTCTGTCAGAGCTTTGTGCTTTTATAATTTTGATAGATGTTGGCAAATTATCCTCCATGAAGGCTGAGCCAATTTACACTCACAAAACATAGGAAGGTTTATTTTCTGTACCCTCACCAAAACAGTGTTTTACTAAACATTTATATTTGCTGTTTGAGTTTTGATTTTCACTTCTCATTTCATGAATGAGACTGAACATCTTAATTTTTAAGGGCCATTTTAATTTTATGTCAACTGTATTTTTGCCCATTACAAAATTGGATTATTAGTCTTTTACTTAGAGATTTGTGTAAGCTCTCTACTTGTGACCACTCTCTATATTAAGGAAGTTAGCCCTTTGTAATATGAGTTGCAAATATTTTTTCCGATTGTCTTTTTAGCTTTAATAGTGGTTTTGACTAAGTAGAGATGTATTTTTATGTAGTTGAGTATATCAGCTTTTATGGCTTCTAGGTTTTATGTCTTACCCAGAAAGGCCTTTCGTATCCTTGCATTATAAAAATGTCTTGTATGGTTTCTTATGGTTAATTTATTATTTAACATTTAATCTGTGATCTGTCTGGATTTTTTTGGCATCAGGACCAAAAGAAACTTTAATTAGTTTGATTCTGTTAGCTCATCTCCTTCCTCTTCTGGAGGTCCTTGCTCCATAACTAACCCCAGATCTTTTTTCCGCCACAGTTCTTTATAGCTCCAAGCTCTACAGATTCTTCAAATATATTGAGAATCGGGATGTTGCTAAAACTGTGTTAAAGGAACGGGGCCTGAAAAACATTCGCATTGGAATCGAAGGTAAAAAACATCCCAGTCAGTATTCAGCTTGCATAGCTTATGGAGTAGGTTGGAACTATGGCCACAGCTTGTGTCCTTAAAATTCAGCTTCCAGAGGACCTAGACAATGGACAATGTGAGAACTACATTTCTAGCCAAGTTTCAAGGATCTTTACTTTTGTTTTTGTTTGCCCTTACATTTCCTTTTCATTTTATTTCCAATTGAAAATGCTTTAAAGCAGCTGTAGGAATAAATTTCAGTTTCCTGCCTCAGGATAAAGAGCAGTGAGGGCTAAGGCCTCTGGGGAGGTGTAAATGGAGCAGGTCTCGTGGGCTCACCACATGGGAGGGGCATTCTGCCAACAGTCTTGGTGAGGATCTCTCTGGGATCTGGAAGGGTCCTTCTGAAAGCTGTAGCTTGGAGACTCAGACTTTTAAGTTATTCCATTACTTACCTTTGAGAAACACCTGGAGGTATTGACAGAATTGCTTTAAATGATCATGAGCAATGAGTGACTCCCAGCCTGTGGTATCCATGAAAAGGTCTTAGAGACAGATTTTTTTTTTTAATCCTTACTGGAGAATATTTTCCGAGAGAGTAGAAGGGAGGGAGGGGGGAGAGAGAAATATCAACAGAGAGAGACATCCACAGATTGGTTGCCTCCTGCTCACCACCCTACTGGGGCAGAGCCTGCAACCCTGGTACGAACCCTTGGCTAGAATCGAACCCCAGACCCTTCAGTCTGCAGGCCTCCACTCTAACCACTGAGCCAAACCGGCCAGGGGCTGGAGACAGATTCTTGAAGAGTGCTGAAGCCGTCCTGATCTCCCTCCATTGGTCTATGACTCTTGTGTGTTGCCACTTACTGTCTCAGTCTTGCCCACAGACCTTTATTGTGCCTAACTTAGGTTGGGATTTAAAGTTGGAAGAGATTTTCGAGATGATCAAATGAACCGCTTTCCACTGAGTGCTTCCCTTGTCTCTTTGGAAACCCCAGGGACAGGGTGATAGGGTCCCTCCATTTCCCACAGCCTATCCAGTTGTTCTACCATCGGAACATTCTTCCACGTATCTGATAGGTAACTGCCTCCCTCTGGACTCTGAAGCTACTCTGAAGATTTTCCCCATCCCATGTGACAGCCTTTCAGATGCTTCAGGCAGCACCCGTTTTTCCTTTAGGCTAAACATTCCACATTCCCTGAACTAGTTCTCACACATTGTGCCCTCTAAGCAGAACTAGAGGACTACAGTGGCCATGCCCTAGCAGGATTTTTGTTCTGTAGTAGTGTTGCCAGTAACTAAAGGCTTCTGAAATTAATAAGAGGCTTCTGTCCCCCTTCCATTATAAGGGATAGGATTTTTGTTACTTCCCTTCTAGGGATAAGACCAACTAACTGAGCAGGAAGGAAGAGAGTGTGCAGGTGATTGGGGCTGGGGGGACGTGGTTAGAGGCTGGTCGCTTCCCCGTAATTCTCATGCATAGTCTTTGGATTTGGGAGGAAACTGATGTGATGAGGTATGGAAGCCACAGTGAGCATTTGCTGAAGTCATGAGAACAGTTTTTTTGTTTCAGGTTACCCTACCTGTAAAGAAAAAATTAAGAGAAGACCTGGTGGCCGATCTGAAGTAATCTATAATTATGTGCAGCGCCCCTTTATCCAGATGTCATGGGAAAAGGAAGAAGGAAAGAGTCGCCATGTGGATTTCCAGTGTGTTCGGAGCAAATCCCTCACTAATCTGGTAGCTGCTGGAGAAGATGTCTTGGAAGACCAGGAGATACTGATGCATCACCCGCCCCAAGTGGATGAACTTGACCGGCTAAATGCCCCACTTTCTCAGATGGCTTCTAACGACTTTCAGGATTAGGGCCAGCTGTGGTCCACCCCCCTGCGAAGCTTCTCTGTCTGGGCTGCCCAAAGTCAGTCCTCCCCATGAGTAAGAGACATGCTTCTCCCCTGTCCTTTCCCTTTTTCCATATTTAACGTGCGTCCTTTCGGTATATCTGCACCTCCGGCAGGGGATGAAAAAGCACGCACTGTAATGAAGCTGCCAGCTTTGCAGCAGCTGGTAACTTGAAATTTTAGGTCTGGTGCTGTTCACTGAGCCTTTGCATAACTGCAAAAGCAGAAAAGGAAGTCAGGACTCCTGTTGCCTCATCCAGCAAAACAGTTCTCATCCTGTATGCTGTGTCTTGGCTTTCCTGTGTTTTGTTTCATACCAGGCACATTGCTTAGCAGCAAAGGGACCAAACTTAAAAGGAGACAATCTATCTTCTACGAATAGGCACTAACGGCATACTCACTCGAGGTTAATGAAGATGCCGTTCCTGGTGGCATCTGTCCAGATTGCATCAGGGAAGAACTGGACTCTCATTCAAAATGTCTAAAAGGAAATTCTTAGCCCTTAGATTCAGTTTTGTTTTGTTTTCATTAATGCAGTGAACAGTCCAAAGCCACACAGGTTCCGCGACAGGAAGGAACGTGGCATAGTAATGTTTCTGCAACCTTAGCATCATGGTGTTTGAGCCTACATAGATAATTCATTTAGAAGGAAACTCACAACTCAAGGAGAAGAGCCCCTCCCCAGCTCGGGCCACTTTGACTGTCCTGGTTGCAGTCTGCTGAGAAGCCACAGGTCTTCACCAAGAGCAGCGTGTTGCTGTGCGTGCGGCCGGGAGCCCTTAGATACGACTTAAAAGCTTTCAAGATGTGGGCAGAAGTTTCTCACGAGGGCTCACTTTCTCAGTAGGGAGACTTGTAAGAGCTCCCGCGAGGACGCATTTGGGGTACGGCCGGGTGGGGAAGCATCACCTGCACGGGCTTTGTCCCCATACAGGGTTTCTCTGATTATTCTTCTGACACTTAGGGAATGTTTTTTGGATACCAGGATATTTTAATTTTTTAAATAGCCTATCAGCTGCTCATACTGAGTAAGAAACCACACTAATGTCATCCCCAAAGGAAGGAGGAGTTGAAGGGAAATGAGACCTAGTAATTGTTTGCTCTGTCAGCCACGAGTTAATGCACAGCGTGTGACAACCAGATCACTCTCCCAGCACTGATCCGCCTTCCCAATGTCCCCATGGCTAGAGCTGGATGTGTCATGGTATTCCCTCCCATTTTGTGGGACAGGCTGGCCTTCCAGTCCCTGCCCGGAGCATTCACTCATCACCGATTACGAAGAGGCACATAGTTCAAGTTCTTTAAGAGCATGACTAATTTTCTTAAATTCCATTCCGTAAGATACTATAGGGCAAGCTGTCCTGCAAAGGTGAAGCCAGATGGGTGTTGAAAGCTGCTCTCCAGGCTTGATCAAGTGTCTTAAGAAGTGTGTTTTCTGCATGTGGTCAGCATCACAGTGGAAGTCAGTGCTGTTCCTTACTCTGAAAAAGTAATGGGGTTAAAGTGGACTGTCCCCACCTGCAGAGTTCTGATTACCATTGGCATCCATTTGTAAGGCTGATGGCCAGGGTTAAGGTTTAGGGTTAGGGTTATTTTGTAGCCAGTGGGTAGTTTCATTTCTGTGAAACTATTGGCTCATATCTGAGGTCAGGTTTGGCTGCGACCTCACCAGTATACATCCGTGCCCACTCGTAGCTGACCGGCCCAGTGTTGTTTAATGGTGCTTCCTTTACATTCACTTTTCAGTTGACTTCCACATCACCACAGAGGAGGTTTGCATTGACTGTTGTGTAGTCTGATACGTGTACTGCACTTAACACTTTTTTTCTGTGTGAATGATTAATTTCCTTTGACTTTCAAGAACTAGATCTTTTTTCCCCAAATTGGGTTAATGTGCTTTTGGCCCCAACCCCATGGAAATCTGTGGAGGTAAATCTACCAGTGTCACCAGAAGGTGGTGACTGAGGAAGCAGCTTGGGCCCTCAGGCTCCTTCTGCTGGAGAGAGGTTTCCGCATCCCACACCCTCCAGGCCTGGAGCTCAGCATCACTGTAATTTGGTGGCTCTCCTCAGTCATAGCTGCTCCGTTCCCAGGGCTGGGTTGCAGTCATTCCCTTGAGAACCAGTTACTGGCCACCTGGGCAGGAGGTGTTTCTAGCACAAAAGGTGGGACTCAGGTTTGGTGTTTTTTTCTAAGTGCCTAAATAAGTAAGCCAGGTGATTTATATAGAAACATTTTCATAAGGAAATGGTTTTACCTGGACTGTCTTACTCAGAGGTATTTTAGCAAGCCAAGATGAACCTGACCTTGAGGTTTAGCATCCAAGTTTGTCTGCATCATATCACGTACAGATGAGTAGGAAACATTTGCCATTGAGGACTTGGAGAGTAGTGGGCAGAGAGACGGGTTAAAATGCGTCTGGTGTTATATTAATGATTTCTCCGAAGTGGAGGTAAGAATGACAGCAAAAGGTAAAGCAGCTAGAAAGTAGCTGGATTTACTGTACAATATGCAGTAGCCAATATTTTAAACTAAAATCCAGAACAGTGATATTTAATATACACAGGACTATGAAAATACTGTTGAGTAAGCCCAGGAAGGATGGCTGTATTTGCAAAGTGTTCTAGCAGTCCTTGTGTAAGTAATCAGAACACAGGCTTTAATGCAAACAGTGTGATGTGGAGCCTTTTTTATTGCCTGAAAATAGTCAAGGGGTTTCAGTAATCTATTGGACGCCACTTCTTGCCATCATTTTGAAATTGTTAAAATGGGCATAGTGTGTTCAGAAAGCAAACCTGATGCCTTCATAGGAGATGAAGCCACATTCGTGCTCTGGGTGGGACCATGGCTGCAGAACATTTTCCCTAAAAGGCAAAATGCCTTTCGTTTTGCCTCTTTACTTTGTATTTAAAGTTGCACATGTTTACCTACCAGTGTTTACGAATTCCTCTATTTGGGATGCTTTTTTTATAATAAAACATTATCATTTGGGTCCATGTTGTTCTTTTGGCAGTAAATAAAATAAGTCAAGATTTAAAAGGGGGCTGAGCCCTGGCCACTGCGGTTCAGTGGGTAGAGCACCAGCCCTCCCACCAAAGGGTTGTAGGTTTGATCCCGGCCCTGTGTGGGAAGCAGCAAATTGATGTGTCTCTCTCGATGTGTCTCTCTCGCAGCGATGTTTCTCTCCCCCTTCCTCCCTCCCTTCCCTTCTCTCTAAAAATCAATGGAAAAAATGTCCTCGGGCGAGGATTAACCAAAAAAAGGGGGGTGGGGGGTGACTGAAAGGAGCAGCACCAGCCTGCCCAGAACAGTCTCCTTTTCCAGGCGGCCAGGGGCTTGCCTTTAGCCTCAAGCCTGTGTGTTTCCCACCTGCTGTTTCTTTGTACCTCTAGGTTCCAGGGCCCTAATGGTCTCCCTTCTCTAGTTCCTGGTTAACTTGCATTTGAGACCCCTTGAACCCTCAAATCCAACTAAGTAGGAACCCCAAAGTCTAAGTTTGAAAGAGAACTCAAAACTTGGATGTCTCAGTTTTGGTTTATAGCAAGTGAGGAACCACAGCAGCAATGAAAGGCAGGTGAGAGCGTAGCGCGGCGTGCAGGCGGGTCCCTTGGACATGCTGTAGGGCCTCTCACCCTTTGGGATCTGACCGGCCCTGCTCTGGTCTGGTGTCCAGAGCCCCCTCAGCTCGCTTAGCCTGGGAGCCTGCTGGTGATACTTCAAGGGGTGCTAAAGCAAGCCTGTGCCTCCCTAGCAACTCCGAGGTTAAGAACACGCTCTGAAGACATGGCCTGTTGGGTATCTGTGCCAGGCACCACTCGGCCACAGGGACACTCTGACGAGGACACCGTTCCTCCCATCAAGGGGCTTTCATCATCATGTGGAGAACCCCAAAAGGGTGGAGTAAGCAGTTTTACTGTGAAGGGTAGAGGTCATGAGAATTCTAGAGGTGACCCATGAACCAAATTGTGCAGGATGAATACTAGTTGTTTAGGTTCCCGAAGTGCCAGAGGAGGAGGTGTCCCGAGCCACCTCAACCATAAGCAAAGATGACCTGATTGCTTCCTGTCGCCGGGGAAGTGGATGGGGTGATGCAGAGATGAGGCAGGTAAGGAAAGACACCTTGGACAATGTTTTACACAGGAGAAGGACATGATCAGACTGAAAACTTGAAAGCATTTCTTTGGCAGCAGGGAGGGTGACAGACTTGAAAGGATGGGGCAAAGAGGTCACTTCAGAGACCACTGCAATGGGTTCAGCAAGAAATGAGGAAGGCACTGGTGGGATGGGTGGCCATGCTCCGGGCCTGGACACGCGTACTGTTGGGAGGCACGTAAGCAGCTTCTGGCTTGGACAGCTGAGTAGACTGAGCCGGAAAAAGGCTATGGACGCACGAGGAGCCTTGGACAGCTTGAGCCTGAGCCTGGAGGCGGCGTCCAAATGGCAATTTCTAGCAGGCACTTGCTACACGAGACCTAGCGTTCTGCGGAGTGGTCCAGGAAGGCCAGTCACTTTGAAGACCACGCACAAAAACATGGTAGTTGAGGCCACAGTATGGGGCAGATGGCTGAGAGATCACATGAGTGAAAAGAGGGCAAAAGTCATTGCTCTGAGGAGCACCAGCATGTAAGCGGTGACAGAAGTACCAAGAAGGAAGTCGGAGGGGTGGGGCAGTTTTTAAAGTCACCAGTGTGAGGGCAGCAGGTTGATCAAGTAAGATAAGGAGTCAAGCCGATGGGCATGGCAGGACACCAGTGGCCGGGGGACAAGAAACCTGAATACCTGGGATAATCAGTACATTTCACACCAGGGGCAGACCGCAGTTCTTCATCAGGCAGTTACTCAGCGCCGCGCCTCTACCTCAGCACAGGACCATACCTCCCCACCTCCGCACCTCCCCGCTCCTGGGCCGCTCATGCCTCCGCCAAATCACCGCTGCTTCCAAACAGCTCCGGGAAGCTTCGAAGCTTCCCAACGACTTTGGGTTGGTCTAGAGTATTATTACATCGACACTAAAATACTACCTTTACAACTGATGCTGCATTCTGTTAAGCCACTAGTGGGAATTCTCCCCTCAGATTGAGCTGCAGTTCAGAACCACAGAGCACTCACTGCCTTGAGTCCCCCAAGTGCCTGGAATTGAGCTCCGTATGTTATACAGGTGCTTAAATGTTATTTGGGCAAGATGTTTTTCTCTGAAAATATGCCCGAAAAAGCATGCGTAGGTTGGTTTTAAGTCAGTTTTGGCTTTGATAAATAATTCCAGGAAAATGTATGCTCCCTGGCACAGGAAAATACCATGCACTGAATCCTTCTGAGTTCTAAAAACACCATGAGGTTACACACAAAGGCCCAGGAGAGACAGGTGAACCAGGAAATATGCTTTCCAAGGAAACAATTCAGAGAAAAAGTATTAGTAATAGCAAATAGAGGATTCCTATTATGCCACATGGATGAGTTTTGAAATTAGCAATCTGCTATTCAGACCCTGAATATTAATCCCAAAGGAATTCATCTGTATGTTACTTTTGAAAGTAATTCTAAAAAGAAAGACTGAGGAAAATTCTGATGCCCTCTGAATCAAGAAGGACATGAGCATCCAGTTTCATTTTAGCATGCAGTGCAAAGTCCTACTACTCTCGAACTCCCACTAAGAGAGTAGGAAACAATTATCTGTGAGCAGGACCAACACTGAGCCAACCCCAGCATGTTTGCAACAAGCCTTGGAAAGACAGTACACGTTCTGCCTGCCTTTAGCTTCCCTCTGCCTGCAGGCCCGACCCTGGTCTTTGCCCCTTCCTTCCCGCCTCTTTCTGAGGCTTCTTTCCCTAATCTAGAGAAGGGGTAAGTGGGACCCAACAGGACTCAAGTACACAAGATCTAGGGACAGAACCCTGCTCTGATGGACACGGGGGGAACAGGGGACTGAGAAGTTCCATCCTGAGAGCTTTTGAGATTCCTGGTCAACCCCAGACTACAAGAAAAAAAACCCCACACAGGTCTGAGCTATAAACAGTTGTACAAAGAGTCTGCCAGTTGAGAGCACTTTGTCAGAAAGGTCTTCCCTTGGCCTTACTGCAAGGGGAGAGCCCACTACCCTGTAACACAGAACCAGGTAGAAAGAACACACATGGAGCCAACAGAACAGTCCCTTCATATGGAGAGCAATTCAGAAGACTCAGGTCCCAGCTTCGCTGAGACAGAAAGCACCTGGCCTATAGACAGTGATGCAGTTAGTACTCTGTCTCTTTGAATTAGAAGCCGTACTGGAGTTTGAACACATCACACATTGCACTACTTTTTTCACAGTTTATTCAAAAGTTAAAAGGAGGACATTTCCCCCGAAAACAAATTATCCCCTGCCACTCCCCAACACACACATTATCACCACTCCTTACCCATGCTTACCACATACTCTTGCAAAACACATGGGGATCAACACCCCAACTATTTGGTAATATAAACTACAAAGTTACACAAAAGAATCTCATTTACTTCCTTTTCTCTAACAGACCATGAATAAAAGATTAAGGGGCAGACACATTACCTTCATCCAGAGTTAATACTTCCTTAATATTCTTTTTTCTTCCTCTAAGACATTAAAATCCAAAGCAATTTCACTTACTACTATAACTTTGAATTCCATTTTTCTTTTCTGAATGGCTAAGCTAGGACACACTTTCCTTTCAAAGCTGATCTTAACAACATGACTGGCAGGAAGCAGTCCCCCAGCTGTAGCCTGACCATGACGCTCTGCAACAGGTAAGGTTACCACACAGGTGCAAATGATGCTTTCAGAGTTATCAAAATTTTAAAAAGTAATAATGCATTAATATGGAGCCTCCACAATTTTCTGACACAGCAAAATTCCTCTAAAGGTGGTGGCAGCTGTAAAAGAGAAGGCACTTGGTGCTAAAATTCAGAGGGTGTCTCATGAGAGAATGCCACAGCAGGGGCCCGCTCAGCCCAAGCTGCAGGCCACCCTTTAGGGTGGAGAATATCCCCCAGGAAGGCATCTGCAAAGGAAATATCTGTAATCATGATTCCAAGGCAAAATGGTACTTAAAGATGGGACAGAAGAAATACCAAGAGAAAAGACAAAACACAGTTGCACCAAGGATTGAGGAGTGAACTTGACAAAGATCTGCAGGCTGGCTCTGCACTTTCCATTGGGCTGGCTCCTTCACCACTTCCAGGGAGGTTCCAGAGACCCAGCGGGAGCAGCACCTCAGCCGAGAGGGTTCCAGGCCTCCTGCCTCTGCCTGGCTCTCCTGTGTTCCCAGGAATAAACCAAGTTCTTGTTGGCAGCACTTATGGGTTTTGCTGGTCCACAGCAACATCCAACTCAGGGATTTTCTGATACAGCCGTGAAGAGAAAGGGAGGGTTTTCCACATGATCCGGACTCCTTGGCAATGCCCAATGGCTTCTAAGAGCAACAAAGGGTCAAGCAGGTATTCCCCCATCAACACTCAGAAAAGCAGCAGGAGTGCTTCAGGTGGGTGGGAGGATGCAAATCACCGGGCTGAGGGTCTTTATCCTAGTACCATAAATAAAGTGCACCACGGAGGCTATGAAAAGCCACTCGCCTGGGGCGAGCTATGGGGAGAAACTACCATCACCACCCCTCAGAGGATGGTGAATCACTTTCTTCAGCCAGCGTGCTGGCTGCTGAGGCTTTCATTATTGCTTTGCTTCCTTAGTACTATGGAACTTGTAGCTGTAAAGAAGAAAGAAATACTTGGTGGGCTTGGCAGAAAGCATATCACAAAGTCACAGGAATTGGCTGATACTCAATAAGTATACGTTACAATTTCAATAATGCTGGACGATGGCTGTTTTCCCCTTCATTCTGATGAACTTAGGAAAACTCAAGTTGTTTTTTTTTAAAAAAAAAAATCTATCAAATTGGCTCATGACGCTTCCCAAGAAGCTGCTTGTGGCCGATGTGGTTGAAATGGCTGTCTGTTCTACAGCTTTTCAGATGCATTATGGACGAGAAGCCACGCACTATCACATTTCAGGCAAGGTGACTGTGACGTACGGGTGGGTTCCATAAACTTCTTGGAAGCTCTTTCAAAAGAGTGTGAGAGGAACACCATGATGTTGTATAAAGAACCCTGCTCCACTTAGGGATCCGTTTCAAGGACGCTACTTTGCTGCCTTCATGTAGGAAGGTATTGCCCCCCGTGCAGTCAGGCCCTCAAAGCGCTTGTATGTGTAATTGATGAAGACCCAGTCCTTGTTCTTGAAGTCAGTCTCGGGGTGATTACTTGTTGCCACTGGGAAAGAAATAGACGTAAGAGTTGATTCCCTGTCTTACTGATGGACCACTGGGCACTGAAGACATGACACTCTGAAGAACATACCGGTTTTCTATCTGGGAAAAGCTCTTTTTCACTCGGTGCTATTTTCTACATGTGCTTGCATAGATATTCCTTGAACCTCATTTTTTTCACATATATTTTAAAAGTTTTATTTTCCCATTTCTGTCATTTCAGGTTACCTAACCTTTAATGTAATAAACAGCAACAAGAGAGTAGACCTTTAAGATTTACCCACCCTGCTGAGCAGGCTAAGCACGGGAGGCTGTATCCACCTTCCACGTGACAAGGTCTCGCTGCTACCCAGCGTCAGCACTGGAAAATACTTACGAAGACCCCGAAGAACTGAAGTTCCTCTCCGTGTTCTCTACCCTGATTTGTAAACATCACCCCGAAACTAGGGGGAAATAATACACTTGTAAGGCAGCAGGAGGCAGAGCTAGTGGTATTACCTGTTGGCTTAAGAATATCAGATTCTGGAAACTCATCGAAGTTTGAGGTATCATCAATGCTTTTGATTTCAATAGATATTGCAGCAGGTCTCTCTCTGCCAAGAATAGACATGCCAAAAATTACCATGGTTAGTAATCACATGGGTCACAGCTAACCAAGCCTTCTCCAGAGACCCCTGGTCTGACACGGAAAGACTATCCCCGAGAAGGCAGCATTTATTTTCTCTGAAAAGCTTCTGACCACAGACCAACTATACCAACTGACTACAGCCAAACAAAATAAATTACAATGAAAAAGTATAACAATTATTCATAGCTTGGAAGACCAATAAGGAGACACTGAAGTCCAAAGTTATGCACTCCCCAACCACCTGCCCTGTCTGCTAAAAAGGGAAGCTGGAACTCAGAGAGCCCTGCATCTAACAGAGGTGCCAACAAGTAGGATGGCTACAAATGCAGCACAGAGGAGGCAAAGGTAAAAAACCACAAGAATGTGCTCGCCCCAGTGGCTCAGTGGATGAGCTTCCGCCTATGAACCAGGAGGTCACAGTTTGATTCCCGGGCAGGGCACATGCCCAGGTTTTGGGCTCGATCCCCAGCAGGCGGCGGGCAAGGAGGCAGCCGATCGATGATGACTCTCTCATCATTGATGGTTCTCTTTTTCCCTCTCCCTTCCTCTCTCTGAACTCAATAAAAACATTAAAAAAATCACAAGGATACAAACCAGAACACAATCATGAAATAGATGACAACTCCTTCACCTTCTGTTTTGCTACCACAATTGCCGAATAAGCGGCCTGGACCCCCGGCAGGCTGCGCAGGCTCTCGCTGGCTGGCAGCCCTCTACAAACCGACCCACCTTCTGTCCCTCTCCACCCACCTCTGCGCCATCTCCCACCCCAATCCTTCTCCCGTCTCCATCCGTAACAGTCTCTACCCTCTGGGCAGGGACAGTCCTGCTGGTGGTCCCCAACACTAGACAGGTTGGTGTGTTCCAGGTAAAAGCAAGGACTACATGCTTCTTAGGTGTTCTCTTCATCACGGAACCCAAAGTTCACTGCACTTTGGAAAGTTCACTGCTGGCTTCAACATATCCCATGGCTCAGGGCCAACAGGAAGCTCCAACTCCCAATCCTCACTATAAACTTAAATCAGGAAAAAAACCCTGAATTTCTAAAATTCCCTTACTTGGTTTGCCAATAATGGTGCTTCCAAATTAGTATTAAGCAAACTACAGACTTTCTGAAATAATCCTGAAAGCTTTTATATGGATATACCTGATATGTTCCCAGTCAACACCTTCAAAAAAAGAATTACTTTTGATTTCCTCAACTCCAGGGGCTCCAATCCTATGTTCCCATTCACAGCAGAATCTGGAAAAGACAGAGGCCTTTCAATTTGGAAAAAGAAAGGGAATAACCTTCCCTTTTGAAAAAGAGAAATGGGAGGAAGCAGGGGACAAACCCAAAAAATAATGAAAGCTTAAAAAATGGATTCACTTTGTCAAAAAGCCTGGGTGGGGGCAGGGGAGATGTTCTCTGACCAATACCTCAAAATTAGATCCTTAGCTTTCTCAGAGATAGGAACTTCTGGAGGAAAAGTCAAGGTTTCTTTCCAGTTCATCACCTTCTTGTATGTCTCCTGAGGAGTCTCAGAACAGAAAGGTGGGTAGCCTGTAACAAAAAAGGAACTTGGAGCTTTTACATCGCAGAATTCTGAGTGTGAGGTTAGTCTCCTTAATAAAATTCTACGTCTCTTCAATGACCTCGTTATGTCCTTCCCTCCATGGCATGGACAGGATTTCCACTCATCCCAGAAAGCACCTAAACCAGTATTTTATCTTCCCCCGAACTCCTAAACCCAAAGTAAAGCTGTGCTTCTGGAACCACTAGGGAGCCAGCTAATAACTGGAGCTGGGAAAAAAGAAGGACATAAGTAGAGGTGCAGATGTGGGAACCACCGTGTCCAAAGAAGAAATGAAAGAATGAAACAGTGTCATTAAGAAAGGGCTCCACCCTGGCCACGTGGCTCAGCTGGTTGGAGTGTCATCTTGTGAACCAAATGTTTGCTGGTTTGGTCCCTGGGTGGGGCATGAACAAGAGGCAACCAATCGATGTTTCTCTCTCTTCCCCCTCCCCCTCACTCTAAAAATCAGTGAAAATGTCCTCGGGGGAGGATTAAAGACAACCCCATTCCAGGAACATCCTGATATGGGTCAAGTGCCAAACAAGCAGAAAAGCAGAATAAGAAAAAGCATGTTGAGAGCTACAGGCAAGAGGATAAACACTCAGCTACCTGCCCTCCACACATTACATCTGCTCCACAGGCAGCCACCCAGTGCGCCCAGAGACAACTCAGCCAGACAGATGCCACACCTGTCGTCCACAGAGACGCACTCCGTCCCTCCAGGTATACGGACTCTCCTGGTGCTCTTGGGCATAGGGCCACCCCGCCATTTAAGGGTATGCCCCTTAAATGAGACATACCATCTGAATAAGAGGGAGAGAGGTCAGAGGGTTCTGTGCTTTGAAGACCCGGAGAGGGGAAGGAGGCAGCAAATAGGAAGTAAAGAGGGCAAGAGGTGATGCCCAGGTGAAGCTCCCTGCATGCATGGCTGTGTAATAATCGCTGGTGGCGGAGAGAGCTGCTAGATGGAGAGGGTGAAAGCGCAGAAGAAAAGCATGGCGCGTGGTCAGCACGCAAGCACAGACGTCAGTGTGACGGAGAATACAGTGGGATACATTTTTTGGCCTAGAGTCTTCTACCTGGGAAACATTACTTTGAAAGATGGGGGAGTGGGGAGAGCTTAGATCAACCCCAAATTGAAACAGTTTATTATCAATGTAGGACTCTTCCCTGGCTACACAGAAAAAGCATGCAACTTACCGATGAGCATCTCATACATGATCACACCAAGCGACCACCAATCACAGAGCTTGTTGTACCCGGTCTGCATGAACACCTCAGGCGCAATGTAGTCAGGAGTACCTACTGTGGAGAAGGCCTGAAACATGTACCACACGTCACATGTCAGGGAGGCCTGGCAGGCGATGGGGTGCCCAGAGTTCCGTTCTACAGACCAAAGGCCACCAGCACCATCTAGAGCTACCCACGAAGTAGGTAGAGCTGCTTCATGACAAACCTGATTTGCCAGAGCACTTCTGAAATGAACACTAAGCTCTGTCAGTGAGAAGAGAGACCCAAAGCCATAGTTCACTAGGTGACAGGTACCTGTCATGACAACTAGTACCATAATTTACTGAGCATCCAGTTAGCGCCAGGTTGTATACTTCTTACATGCTTATGAGACTATTTGGTCCTGACAAAATTCAGCAAAGAGGACTTTATTAACCCAACTTTGCAGATTAAAAAAATCTGATGCCCAAAATGGCTTTGCCCAAGGCCTCAGAACTAGTTAAGCGGCAGAACGCAGTTTGGAAATTCTCTTGCTCCAAACCATCCCTCTTTCCACCATATACATCCTTTGATTTGAGAAAATCATAAAGAGAAGTTTTATCATTAAAAGCTAAAGTTATATCCTATAGGTTAAAGGTTTATAAATGTTTATTTACCAAACTTAACTATCAGAGGAATGTTTTCTAAATGCAAGTAATCTCTTCTCATACACCAGGACTGCAGTACTGGGAAGTACAGCCAAAGCCTTCGGTGTGCTCAGCACTGGCGGGCTGACAACATGGAAGGCTCCAATCACGGTGCTTTCCATATCATAAAACTTCTAACATTAAAAATTACAGCTGTGTTGTCTTTTTAAAATATTTATTATGTAATACTGCAAACATACCAAAAGAAGCACAGACAGTATACATGTAGCCATTACCCATATTCAAGAGAGGTTAGTCTCCCATATTTGTCTTAGATCATTCGTCTTTTTTTAAAAAGTGAAACTAAAGAAATGATTAAAGTCAGATAGTCCCTCCCTTCCTCCCCACCAAAGTTAAAACCACCCTGAAGTTGCTGTGCTATGCTTGTATGAGTATTCATATGTGACATAATACTTCTGGTATATTTCAACTTTTAATAAAGGGTTTCCTACTGTACTGTATTATTTTACAAGGCTACAACATGCTTTTTTTACTCCAATTATAAACGAGATTAATTCACATAGCTCCAGTTCACCATTTAACTGCTGTACACTTTTCCATTACACAAATGTCATGGTGGCTGTTTTTTTTATCCATTCTCCTGTAAACGGACACTTACAATGCTTCCAACGTTTCACTATAACAAAAAACACCTGAGTAAACATTCTTGTAACAACTCCTGGACACTTGTGCAAAAATTTCACTAGAGAATGTAAGAGAAACAGTATCACTGGGTCTTCTACTTAATTAGCCATCTTCCAACTGTCCTTCAAAGCGGCTCTGACTAAACACCCTCAGTGGGATCAGCTCCTGATGCTCCGTATCTCGCCAACACTTGGCTCTGTCCAACTTTTTAATTTTTACCAATCTGATGAATATGAAATGAGATCTCACTGGTTTAATTTGCATTTCCCTTATTTCCAGTAAGACTGAGTGCATATGCATATGTTAATTAGCCATTCAGGTCTTTTTTCTGTGAATTCCTAGGAGTTCAGATCCTTTGCTCATTAGTTTTTTTTAGTTGCATTATCGTTTTTCTTATTGATTCAGAGGAATGTTTTTTATAAATCCAGGGCATTAATCCTGATTCAGGACATTAATCCTTTATAGTTTTACATCTTGCAAGTATCTTCTCCCAGTTGGAGGCTTATCATTTTATTATGTTTTTTAAATGATGCAATGTGTTGCATACCAAAAATGTATAACTATTAAATTATAAAATGTAATAATGAAAACGAGTACCTCAGTTCAACTAAGAACCAAAATATTACCAATATCATTAAGCTTAAACATGTACCCCTCCCCATCCTCACGCCTCTCCTAACCCCTAATGTTCAATTTTATGTTCACCATTCCTCTGCTTTTATAAAGTAATTTTGCCACATCTCTCTAAATGAGATCTTTTTTAGTTTTGTTTTTGAGCTTTGTAAAAATAGTATCATTCTACATGCAGTCTTCTGCTATTTGCTTTTTCCTCTCAATGTTGTTTCTAAAAGTGATCCATGATGTCACATGTAGTTGTAGTTCAATTATTTTCACTGCTGTAAAATATTCTATTCCAGAATATAACTATTTTCCTGTTGATGGACAGGAGCCACTAGGTAATTTCCAGTTTTTTGCTATTATGAAAAGGCAATAAACATTCTTTGACACATCTCCTGGTTTACAGGTGCAAGAGTTTCTCCAAGGCACATGACTAGGAGTGAAATTGCTGGGCTGTAGGATACGCACATGAACTGCAAGACAATTCCAAAGTAGTTGGACCATGTGATTTATCTTCTCATTTATGTCTTTCAATATACAGAAAGTTGTTTTCTTTAAAGTGGTAAAATAAAACATGTTTTTCTTCATGATTTGTACTTGTATCATATTTGAGAAATCCTTCTTAACTCTGAGGCCATAAAGATATTACAGGTATTTGCTTCTAAAATTTTCAGTTTTACTTTCCATCTACATTTATTTTGTATATACTATAAGACAGAAATCCACTTTTTCCATATACATAATTGTACAGTTTTCTTTAAATACGTATATTAAGTAACATAAATGCCAGTTTTGTTTTGTTTTAAAGCTTTAAGCCTGGAACATGGATTGGGCCCACCCCAAGGAGCAGAAATATTTTCATTCTAATTATAAAGATTAAGAAACTACAGCCAGGCTGGTGTGGCTCACTGGTTGAGCATCGACCTATGATCCAGGAGATGGCAGTTCAATTCCCGGTCAGGGCACATGCCCGGGCTGAAGGCTCGGTCCCCAGTGCAGGGCATGCAGGAGGCAGCAGATCAATTTCTCTTATCACTGATGTTTCTGTCTCTCTCTCTCTCCCTTCCTCTCTCTGAAATCAATAAAGATATATTAAAAATATATATACAGAAACCCTTCAACTTAGAGAGACTAGATTTATTCTAGCAAAACTGAATATTAAGTAAATCTTATTTGTTCAGACATTTTTATTATGAAACCAGAGATCTACTGTCACAGGAAAATAATTACTGCAAGATACTAAGATGTTAAAAAGGATCCCGGAGTTAAAAGCGTAGCCAACAGTAGGCACAAACCTGTGACATAAGGAGCTGTTCTCCCTCTGGGAGCTCACTCTCTCCTCTTAACCAACTGGTGGTAGGTATTTCTAGTCTAGGAACGGCCCCCTTCCCAAACTTTTGTCTACTTTCCATACCAAGGTGCCCTCCAATGCCAAGTTCTTAACACCTAAAATCTGTCTCCATCTTTTCCCTTTTGTTACCTGGATATTTATAGTGTCGATAAGAGCTGCACTGAGAGCTTTGTTGGCTATCATTTCAGACACATGACATGGTGCAACTTACGATTTCATTGAGGATTTCGGGGGAAATAAAGCAATTTTATTTCCTACTCAATCACTTCTTTAAATTCTACACTACAAAAGGATAAATAAATTGAACAAAGATCGGATGCCTAGATGTACTTCAACTCTTACCTCTGTGGTTCAGTAACTTAAAGCTGACTCATACCTACACTTCCTGATCAGTTCCTGAGGCCTAAGGTTACCCAAGACTACATAGCAATTTAAAACATCACAATATGATTTAAGCAGCAAAGGAGTGAACCTTAAGCCTCTACTTTATTCACTGATTCTCAACAGACTGAAAAGTAGTAATAGGCTTGGTGAGCAATATGATAGGCTTAACCTAGAGCAGTAAATTTACAGTAAGCATTAACTAATATTAACCTTCCACTTGGTACTAGTTGAATGGGATCACCTATGAAAGGTCAAAAAGCACAGGGTTAATTGACCTTTTGAAGACTGAGAGGTGGTCTTATTTTCTTCAAGTTATCAAAATTGATAATATGAGGGTGATTTTAATACATTTCCATTTCCACCAGAGATAAAATAAAAAGGCAAGAACATTAATCACAGCATGAAAACCTCAGTTTACTCAGATTTTTAAAAAAACACCAAAAACATTTTAAACTATTAAAGGACATTGAACTCCAAATACAGAAATTGTGAAATCTCCTTCCTTCTACACCTATAAGTGGTTCCTAGTAATTATGACATGATCCTTTGGTGCATGTCAAAGAACATAAAGCCTATCTCAAAGTATAACTTAAGATATTTAAGCTTAATTACCCCCAAAATAAATATCAGTGCAGTGCCAAAGGTTAAATCTTGGTTTGCTTTAAAAAAAAAAGAAAGAAAAAAATCAAAGAAGATTCCTTACCTTTTGTTAGCTTCCAAAACAGGTAAATGTCAATGTCCCCAAAATGCAGAAGCTATTGTTAAGAAACAGTCTCTTCCTTGGAGGGTCTCAAACTTCACTGCACAGCAGAATCACCCAGACCACACACCCCAAACCACATGAAGCAGAATCTCTGGGGATGGGGCCCAGACATCAGTATATTCTGAAATTCCCAGGTGATCCTGATGTGCAGCCAAGGTTAAGGTCTGCTCTATGGAGAGACATAATAGAAGCCCCTGACCAAATTTATTCTGACATTCCCTAACCCTCTATGTAAACAGCTTTTCAACCACATACAGAATTTAGACACTTGAAGAGTTCCTAAGGAAAAGAGACTATGATGAGACTAACTATCCCCAAATTAATATTAGAGAAAGATTATCGAAGATTAATTTCAGTTTCTACATCTCCAAAAGTGCTTGGTTTAAGTTATTACCTCTCCCAGGGCCCAGGTTTAACATAAAAATCATAATACTCAAAGCATAGTCTGGGCCCACATATGGGCCTCAAATAAATTTAAAAAAAAAAAAAAAAAAAGCAAGCCTTCCTTTGATTCTTTCTTAAACAATTCTACAGGCTTCCATTTTCACGTGGCTGACAGCTACTTACTAGTGACCTACTAAGTAAGTTATTAAAGACACTATAGAGAGCTCTAATTCAGTATTTTACTAAGAAGTCTGACTGAAAAACAGNAATAAAAAAAAAAAAAAAAAAAAAAAGCAAGCCTTCCTTTGATTCTTTCTTAAACAATTCTACAGGCTTCCATTTTCACGTGGCTGACAGCTACTTACTAGTGACCTACTAAGTAAGTTATTAAAGACACTATAGAGAGCTCTAATTCAGTATTTTACTAAGAAGTCTGACTGAAAAACAGCATTTGGCAAATCTGCTAAGTTACTATTGCATTTTATACACTGATAAGCAGAAGTGCCACCTTGTCTAGATAATACACGTGCATGATCACCATTCCAAGTTAGTCATAATTTTCCATCGCTGCTACTCTTGCTTTCTAATGACCAGGCTTTAGTTTAGCTTTACTGTCATCAGTTTCATTTGCTACAGGTTTCTAACAAAGCCTAAGTATGCAGTGATACACATTTCTATTAATTTTCCAATGAGACAGTAGGACACGAACACTGCACTTCAAATGTAAACCAATGAATCAGAATAAAAGTTTGCGAGACGGCAATTTTTCACTGGAGATTTTGTATTATTTAAGTAGCTCCCAAACTGCCATCAAGGTAAATCCAAGAATGTTATTTTTTAAGCTTGTGGGGCATAATTTTATGTATATTCCCTTAAATATTTATAAAGAAAGAAGCATTTCCCTTAAATTTCTCTCCAATTTTCAACACCTGGTTCTTTGTGTCACCAAAAGTACAAAAGGGTAGGGCAGGTAATTTGAGGAGTGCTGACTTGCTAAAGTGAATGAAAATTTTAAAAGTTTGTGAACCACTGTATTAAAGCCCTGGGTAGGTATCTGTACTGAGTTTCCTTTTGAGAGACCTGCAGCTTAAATATAACGCCAGTGCCACCATAAAAATCGGGAAAAGGTGGAACAGGAAGGAAAGGGGTCATCACCAAGGTAAAAGGTCAGAATGAGGTCACCTACTGAAAATGTCACAACCAGAACAATGTAATATTATCTGCCTCCAAATGACGACTTTGGTGCTACCGACATAATAACAGTGCTCCATTAAGGTAATCTTAAAGGCAAGAGATAGATATGCTGCAAACACTTATAAAATGCAAATTTATGTGCATATTTTTTAACATATTCATACTTGGTTTAGAGCATTTAAGAAGCTACAGATATTACTTACTAGCTGACGTCTATTTCTTTTCCAGGTTTCTGCTTTCCTTTTGGAATTCATGTTCTGGAAAGCTAAAAGTAGAGAAAACAAGTTCTAATCAAAGTTCAGACAGGAATATTTACTAACTTTTTAGGCTCTGGTTCAAACCACACGAGACCCTAAAGTCTGCCAACACATCAAGAACTCTGGATGACACATTTCCCAGAAAGCACTTGTTCAAAGAATCACACAATGAGATCAAGCAGCACTTCCATGTGGATCATGTGGCCACAGAGAACACAGGCAAGCCTTGATGAGAATTACAAGGAATTTAATCAGAATTACTGGAAATTCAGTCTCATCAGAAACAAAGGTCCCAAAGTGGGCCTAAAACATTTACAATTTCTCAAAATTACCATCAAATTTCCAACAGCAGTCACTGCTAGAGACTCCTGGGTTTTATAATATATTATTTGACATAAGCTTCTCTAAGATGAACTGTAATTTTACTACATAATTTCAATGGTTTGATTACCAGTGCTCAAGTTAAAGTAACACAATGATAAATTTCTTTCTGCAACGACAGAAAGAAGCACTTAGGATAAATCTAATCTGGAATTATTCCCAGGACTTTTTCCTCTACTGCCCCAAATTCCTCCCCAGGAGACTTCTAAGTAGAGATGCAAAGCAAGCTCTTTGCAACATCTGTCTTAGCACATTTGGCGGCACTTATCTTGCCTCACTATACAAGTACAAATCATTTAAGTCTCTAAAGACTCAAAGGGAGGCTCTCCTAATCTGTCCTGCATATTCTGATTACCAGGGGGAACAGCTCTACTAGGCCCAGTTAAGGGAAAAAAGGCTAACATCACTGTTAACACTTACTGAAATCACTGGGAAGGCTGTGGTTCAAATTCCTATAAAATTCTGTCCTATGTGCTTTTTTCAGGCCTGTGCATAGGCCAAAGTCAGAAAGTTTCACATGGCCCTATGGGGAAGAAGAAACAGGTAATGGAAGAACGTTCATAGATGTGGAACACAACAGTATCGTCTCCGACGCCTTGCAGTATCCATGACAGCTCCACAGCCAAAGTATGCTGCCTTTTTTTCTTTTATTACAGGGAAGATATTTATAGCAACAAATATGTTTTTAAAAGATCACCCCAAATTCTATTTACAAATAAAAGTATTTTCATTTTTGCCTATTATCTTTGTTTCAAAATATGAACTTTTAAACACAGTTGAACTTTCCATAGCATCTAAAGATAATTTCACTTCTTTAACTCAAGTATTCTTCTCTATATATAGCTTCTATATACATAGTCTTAAAAATTAGCATTTTTAATGTTTACAGATATTCAAATGACTTAGTACATCGCTGCTTACCTAGCATCCCCCTCATACTGGGTGTTCACTTCATCCCCAATTCTTCACTCTCACTGCAATGTGCATTACAAGCACCCCTATGACACAGAGGGCCTCTGTCCCCCCCCCCCAACCATGCCTGGTACAGAGGATGGTCTTTAGTCAATGGTTGTTAAATAATGAACAGACATTTGTTTATATAGTTTCTTCTTCTCTTGAATTATTTCACTAGGACAAATTCCAAGGAGCAAACTATTCCAAAGACAAAGGCAATAAACTTTATTACATTGTTCTTGATAAATGTTGCCAGACTGCATATTAGTCATAAGTCTCTGAATCTATAATACCCTTCAAGGAAAACACACCTCCTGTGAGCCAGATACTATGCTTTAAATGCGTTGTCTTGCCTGGCCAGTGTGGCTCAGTGGGATGGGCGTCATCCACCAAGAGGATGCTGGTGGCAAGGGCACATGTCTGGGTTGCAGGCTCTATCACTGGTGGGGGAGGTACAGGAGGCATCCGATCTATGTGTCATTCCCACATCAATGTTTCTCTCTCTCCCTTCCTCTCTCTCTAAAAATCAATAAACCATTCTTTAAAAAAATAGAAATTGTATTATTTCATTTGTAACTCTGAAACCACACTTCACAGACTCAGAGACATTAAATGGCTTGCTGGCTAAATGGCAAAACCAAAACCAGGAATCAACAAGCTCTTCCTCCCGAGACCAGGATTAGCTAACCTCTGCAACCCCTTGATCTCATCTGGAAAATGGGGATAATGACACCTACCTGGCAGGAAGGTGAGAATTAATGCATACAAGGCTCCTAACTTTGGTGCCTGGCACACAACTAGCCCTAAGAAACAGGTAGGTGTTCTTAGGGTGGTTAAATTTTAAGTAGACATAAAACAAGTCTCTACAAGTTCAAGAAGATTTGAAATGATATCAAGCATCTTCTTGGACATTTATACAATGGAATACTATGCAGCTGTAAAAACAAAGGATCTCTTACCCTTTGAGACAGTGTGGTGGGACCTAAAGGTTATTATGCTAAGCGAAATAAGCCAGTCAGAGAAAGACAAATGTCACATGATCTTACTCATATGTGGAATATAATGAACAAAATAGACCCAGAAACATAGAAGCACAGAACAGACTGACAAATCTCAGAGGGAAAGTGGGGGTGGGTGGGTGAGTGGGGAGAGATTAACATAAGAATTTATATGTATATATGCAGAGCCATGGACATAGATAATTAGTGGGTAAAGGCCTGGGGGGAGGGGTACAGGGTGGTGGGGATCAATGGGGAAAAGGGGGACATTTGTAATACTTTCAACAATAAAGATAAATTAAATATAATAATAAAGTAAAATAAAATCTCACTGGGACATAGTTGAGGAAAAAGATCTATTTTAATGTCCTATAAAAAGTCACAACTTCCTAAATTATTTTAGTTCTTATAGTTTTCCTTTGTCTGTATGTACAATTTCATTGCTAGAAATGTACACATATCCAGCAAAATGTATGCTACTCATTGTGTTACTCTTAAAAAGAATATTTGTATTGTCTTACTTTAATAAACTTTTACCTAAAACCTAAAAAAAAAAAAAAATCTTAAGTAGAAGAGGTAAAACCAAATATAGGGGAGGGAATCCTGATGCTCAGGGATCTACACTGCTCAAAGTCACACATTTAGAAGGGGTATGGCCAACGTTTGATCCCCAACAACTTCAACATGTGTGGTCATTCCATGATACCCCTTTCCTTCAGGCCCTAACATACAACTTCTTAGAGAACAGGGCTACAGAAGCCCTGCTCAGATGGGTCAGGTTTTATTTTGTTTTGTTTTTAACGAAACCCCATTAGGTTTGGGGGGGGTGTGTGTGTGTGTGTCTGTGTGTGTGTGTGTGTGTGTGTGTGTGTGTGTGTGTGTGTGTGTGTGTGTGTGTCTGTGTGTGTGTCTGTGTGTGTGTCTGTGTGTGTGTGTCTGTGTGTCTGTGTGTGTGTGTGTCTGTGTGTGTGTGTGTCTGTGTGTGGCAAAACAAGGGAAACTGCCTAACAAAGATAGCTTTGAGCCTATTAACCTGATATCTTCTTTTTCAGATTTGCAAATAACTTGTTCTACAAGTCAAGGAACAGGGTTTAATTTGTAGTTCTCATAATTACATGTTTTACCTGGATACCTCTAAGGAGTGTGTCTTGAAGAACAGTGCCTGGAGCAAATGCTATTCAAACCTAGATTTTCAGGGAATTCTGTAGCTATTCTGAGTACAGAGCAGAAACTCAAAACTTCCACATTTTCACTTCAACAAACTATATGGCGGAACACACAAATGAGCTCACTTGTGAGAACATTCATTCTACAAATCTGGCCTAGCATATTATAGAGAGCAAATATGCCCCTGGCAGGGTCCCCCACTCCTTATCAGCTAGATTGAGTTTCCAAGTTCTTGGCCTTCAATGTTTGCTGAACCTGAACATAGACTATGGGGTACAACTAAGCCAGCACTAAGGCACCTGGGGTACAGAACCAGGGCATGTGAACCCAAGACCAACAAAGTAGGGCCAGTGCCTTATTAAAAATACATCTCGACTTAATGACCTAGAAAAGTATTCTCATACACATTAACATTTTAAATACCAAGAATACCAAGCTATTTACTTTGAGGATGCTAACTGTATGTAAATTATTGACAGAAACAGAAAAAGTATTGAAGCTACTACACCAAAATGATGAGATTATGGTATTTTTCTTCTTTGTAACTGTGTTGTTCAAATTTTCTGCTGTGTATGTGGCATTATTCTTATAATGAAGAAAAAAGCTACTAACCAGAAGAAATTATCTGACAAACTTCCTGCCCTCTTGAAACAGAAAGAGAAGGGTTTTTAAAGACAAAGGTTTTTCAATGATAGCAAGAAAATTATTAAAAGACAGCAAGAGCCCGGCCAGTGTGGCTCAGTTGGTTGAGTGTCCTCCCATGCACCGAAACTCCCCAGCTGGATTCTCAGTCAGGGCACATGCCCAGGTTGCAGGCTTGGTCCCCTGTCAGGGTGTGTATGGGAGGCAACAGATGGATGTTTCTCTCTCTCTCTCTCCCCTCTCCTTCCCCCTCTCTCTCAAGTCATTAAAAACAAACAAACATTAAAAAATAAAATAAAGCCTGGCCAGCGTAGCTCAGCAGTTGAGCATCGACCTAGGATCCAGGAGATCAGGGTTCGATGCACATGCCCGGGTTGTGGGCTTGATTCCCAGTAGGGGGCGTGCAGGAGGCAGCCGATCACTGATTCTCATCATTGATGTTTCTCTCTCTCTCCCTCTCTCTGAAATTAAAAAAAAAAAAAAAGCAGGAAAGAAAAATACTCTAGGAATTAAATTCATTTTTCTACTTAAAAACAATTCTGTGTAACCAAACAGAACATTCTGCGATTTTAGAGCCGGAAGGAACTTTGGAGTGTCTCTGGATCAATATATTCACTTTATAGGTAAGTGAGGTCAGAAAGTGGAGAGACTTCCAAGGAGTATCCAGCAACCAAGCAGCACAGGGGATTCTCTGAAGATTTGCTGTGAGCTTAAGAACCAAGCAACTAAGCTTATTTGCTGTCTAATGATAAATATAGAAAGGCCATTACAGGACTCTTCTTTAAGCAGAGGGCCTAAGATCTGGAACCTAAATTTTGTGGTGCAGTGTTGTGGTTGTTGCTGTCGTGCCTCACTTCCTGGTTCTTGGCTGGGTTCCTCAACTAATGAGGCTCCCAACAGAGGGGTTCTCAGTAAGTGATGCATCGGTATAAGTCTATGCTGAGAAAAGATGACTATCTGGCTTTACTATAAAATAACCTTCTAAATCAATTTTACTCTTACTCATTTTCAAAATGTCCTTTATTTTTAAGATGAGCATTCAATCAAATTATAGAATCATGCCCTGGCCAGGTATCTCAGTTGGTTAGAGCATCGTCCCAATGCAGCAAGGTTGTAGGTTCGATCTTCAGGGCAAATACAAGAATCAACCAATGAACAGATAAATAAGTGGGACAACAAATCAATATTTCTCTCTAATCAATCAATACATTTTTTTAAAAAATCATAGAATCATAAGCCTTTCAGAGAAAGGAGGTAATGGCAAACTTACCTGTCAAAAAAAAGAGAGAGAAAAATGCACAAGGTGCTCACAGCTCCGCAGCCTCCTTACTGTGATGACCACAGGCAGTGCCCGCGTTAGCGCAGAGGCGCTCAGACGGGTCAATGCACACAGGCCGTGCTGCTGCCCTCCCCAGCCTCCACCCTGCCTGGTACCTTGCTGTCCAGGAGAAGGTTGTCTGGTTTGATGTCTCTGTGGATGAATCCAAGTTGGTGAATGGAGTCTATGGCTAACACTGTCTCTGCTATATAAAACTGAGTCTCCTCCTCTGTCAAGGTGTCTTTTTTCATCAGTAGTGTCATCATGTCCCCTGTAAATAAGAAGATACAAAACCACCACACACACAACACATGAGTAAGCCAGTTTTCAGGTATGTCTCCCTACTATCTGCCAACATAAGGCCTCTGCTGTGTGGCAGAGACTGACCCACACTACCGCTATGAGAAGTAGCAAGTAGTTTCTAACACTTAAAAGGTAAAATTCACAGCAGCGGAGAGCAAAGCACTTTCACCTAAGCTAACTGATGCTTACCAGAGAGCTATGATTTCTACTTTACTTTGAGAGAAAAAGAAAATTTCTCTCATGCTAAAAAAAAAGGTAAATTTGCTTATGATAAATTTTTTGAACTGGGAATAAAAGCTACTTTGTCTGCACAAATATCTACAAACTTTTCTATACTTAGAACCAAATGGCATTTCCACATAGGTTGTATTGACATTGTTATAGAGAGAGACTGAAATGCCAAACAACAATATAAACACTGGGGAGGCTGCGACAAGCTCTCCAATTTCTACTCACAAAGGCAGCAAGTGCTAGTTGGCAAAACTAGAAACAAACCGAAAGTGCTCCACAGAGCAGGTGTGATGGTTGCCTCCCAAAGTGCACACTGAGCACCTCCCCAGACCAGTGGGGTTTCTCCTCCAGTGTCTTACTGTGAGGATTTAAATATACACTAATATGCTTTATGCAATTTTTACAACACAGTATCAATAGGTTAGCAACTAAAGGTAACCTCCCTGTTTTCTGCAAAGTCAAAATTTAATTCTTTCTGCTTAATACCAGCAACATAAAATGGCAAAACAAAGATTTTGATCCTAACTCAACGGTTAGACAAAAGCAAAGCAAAGCAAAGACATGTAAGTAGTTTAAAGCTAAGAGAAACAGGAGAGGTTCAGTTTAGATCTCATATAAAGCCGTTTAAGTTAGAAAATAGGAAAAAGAGAAACTGATTTTAACAGAGCATCATGCTGCTTTTTAAATTTAATTTCATTTATAATTTTGGGGAATTTTTATATTCTTAGAGAAAAGTAGATATTTTACGCCCAGACAAAAAAAAAAAAAAAAAAAAAGTCAAACCTTTTATTAAAATGCTCTCTATTTTGACCCAAGATTTGAAAAATATGAATCCCTACTCACTCCTGGCAGCCACACATTCAATCTAGAGAGACACTAGTGACACAGGGACAGCGCACTCAGGCCAGGTCTAAGGTAACCATGTGGCCTTACACCGTGGCCCAGGAGAGCAGCCAATGGCCTCACCTGTGCGAGTTCGCCCAGATGATCAGAGAGCTCAGGCCAGATGGTCTATGGCTCTGCAGGCCAGCTCCACCAAGTGCAAAGGGCAGGGTCCAGGAGCCATAAGAAGCTATGGAAGACGGTGCAGGTAAGGCTTGAGGAGACACATGTCCAGGGGCTGGTGACTATTTAAGAATTGGCATCTAAATAATAAAGCTCCTCATGCTATCCTTCATCAATTTCTAACCTTCATCAATTGTTAATATAAAAAGTATTGATGACCCTAGATCTACACTAAAGGTTGTCACAAGTTCAAAATATTATGCCACAATTATATTTCTTTGCTATAGAACCAAAAACCAAAATTTTCTTTTTTTCCCATCAGAGTTTGTTCACAGTTCATCTGCTCACTAGGAACAGACTGTTTCCCAGAAGAGATGGTATGTCCTGTTCTGCTTTGTTTTGGAGCTGTCTTAGGAGATGCACATGCTGAGTTATGTAAAACTTAAAATCTCAGAAACGAGAAACTGATTCTGGCTACTACTATAGGTAATGAGAAATTCACTTCTTAATATAAGTTATAGAAAAGGAAACTAAAGAGTTGAAGCAAAGAATGTTATAGTTTCAATTTTGTCATTTGGGTAACTGATTATACATGATTCCCATTTACAGGAGAGCAGGCAGAGTTTATTCCTATATGTTTAGAAAGAAAAAGAAAATCAAGAAATGTCCATCTGAAATTATGAGAATGAATAAGAAGGTTACTTTTATGGCACTAAGAATTGTAGAAAGGCACCCAGCACAAGACAGGTTACTGATTTCCTTTACAGACCTAAAAAAGATATAGAAAGTAACTTTGTGAGCACGGATTAGAAAGGAGGGTTAATTGAGATGAGAAAGAAACCACAGAACAAAAAGGAAAAATGACCTTTCATCATCAAGTAATTACCTCCAGGCAGGAACTCCATGATTAGGTAGAGGTTTAGCTTATCCTGAAAACTATAGAACATTTTCACAACCCACAAACTGTCTGCCTCCACTAGAATGTCACGCTCCGCACGAATGTGGCCAACCTGGAGGTATACGCATTTGATTAATGACAAGACTTGCTCTGCTTTATTAGACTGTATATTTGTTTAAACAATTCAAAGACTATTTTGAGTATTAAATTGTGTTGATGCAAAAGATCTGATTTATGCTTAGGCAAACCTACTAACTCAAAATTGACAACATTTGACTTGAAGGTATTCCAAAATGAAAACTTAAGTGATGAAAGGCTTAAAAATGGCAAAATGAATGGTGGTAATGCAAACGGCAACTTTAACAGTGCTAAAAATCAATCCTCTGATTAGTTAAAATCACCATTATTTTGCATCTTTTTGTTCTAATACAGTAGTCCCTCCTTACCAGAGAGGGACACTGGGGGTCTTTACAAGACCTCCAGTGGATGCCTAAAACCAAGGATAGCATGGAACCCTATAAATACTATGCTTTCTCCTACATATACATACTTATAAAATTTAATTTATAAATTAGGCACAGTAAGAGTTTAACAACAATAACTAATAATAAAACAGGACAATTCTAGCAACATACTGTGATAATAGTTATGTGAATGTGGTCTCTCTCGAAATATCTTATTGTGCTGGCCTCACCTTTTCACTTAAAGGAAGTACTTTATGCTTCTCTTTGGCATACCCAAATGGCCAGCATCACTAGTCTTATGCTTTGGGGCCATTATTAAGTAAAAGAAGGGTAACTTGAACACAAGCACTGAGATACCAGGTCAATCAATCTGATAACTGAAATGGCTACTAAGTGGCTAACAGGTGGGTAGTGTATATAGCCTAGATAAACTGGGCAAAGGGGTGATTCATATCCCAGGCAGATGGAGCAGGATGGTGCAAGATTTCATCACACTGCTCAGGAAAGTGCTCAATTTAAAACGTATGAACTGTTTATTCCTGGAATTTTTAATTTAATATTTTCAGAGCACAGGTAACTGAAACCACAGAAAGCGAAACTGCAGATAAGGGGAAGACTAGTGTAATCTTTTATGATAAAAGTGAGTCTCAAGATGACTCTCTAAACAAGTCCCGGCTCGGGTGTGCAAAGGTATCTGCAATGACGGTGCCCTTGTTGACAATTCTAGAATATTATGACACCACGGCATTTAGGTCACTGCTGTGCACAGAGTATATGCTCAATCAGTTCTTACTGAACTGAAATATAAGAACACCTAAGAAAAGTTTTAGGTTTAAATTTATGACATTTTCAGTTTTTTACTCTTACTGAAATATCTAGCTAAGGAGACCAAGTCTGCCAAAGGTTTGGGAGAACTGGTAGAATTCATTAAAATGATGTTTTATTATGAAATTTATCTAATTTTAATATATAATAGTAATCAAAACAGTGCTGCATATCAAATCCCGCCTCTCTCCTCTTATATAAGTGTCACAAGATGCAGAGTTGGGTTGAATAAACTGAATTTATTAAACCCAGTCCAATCCTTGAAGAGAGGTTTTGGTCTGAACATTTGCCACAGTATGTTCAGAGGTAAAGATGTACCAAGGGACACAAAGTGGCCCTTCTGTTAGCAAACTCAGCCCACGGGTATTGTTTTATGTGACATAATGTTCTATATGCTTGTTTGTTTTATTGAAGTGTCTTTAGCAAAGCCCGGCACTTTATGCAAACACAAACCCGCCCCTCTCCCATCTTGTACCTCACTGCCTCACTCTTCCATGCTAACTCCCAGGAGCCTGAAGGGATCTGAGTTTACTTACTATTTGAGTTTTCGGTTGCTACTAAAATTGTTCTTTGAGAAATTTTTAAATAGCAGAAAACTTACATTTTTACATCTCTACTCACAGCATGAGAGTGGGGAAAATGGAACATAGGGCGATAGGAACAGTGCTATGAATCACGACAAAGCCCAGTAAAGCTATTGCCTTTACTCAGCTTTAATAGCAGAGCAAGGCTTTTGGGAAACACTAATGCCACTTGCTGAACTGCAGCCGTGACTCTGACCCAGTCATTATGACACAAAGACTGTACCAGGCAGCCCTCACCTGCCTCTGCTTCCCCTAGATCCTGTTATGGCCGCTCCCTACTGCAGGGAACCAGAGAGAAGGTGAGGGACTACTATTACCACTTGTCACTCACCCTGGAGGACAGAATGGTGACGGTCACATTCCCTGTTTGTCAAGGGGAAAGCCACAGTCACTGTGAGCTCACCTTGCCCTTCTCTTCTGGGGCTGAAACAGCAGCTAGGAACCTCAAGATCTAGGAGTGGAGTTAGGTGTATATAGGGTAAGGAACAAAAGAGTCAGAGGTGCAACTCACAGTAGGGGTCCCCCTTCCGCTGTTCCATAAATAGTTAATGGGATGGGGAATTTCATGCTAGGTGCTATCCTGAGCACTAGGAAAGCAGAGACACAAGTCAGTCTTTTGTCCCATCCTAACACTAGCCTGGCTTCACAATCGGGGGTCTTCCTTTTGTGCTGGAAGAGAAACATGAAGAAACTAGCTAAGTGCTGGTCTCTTATCCTTTAAAATTTATTTTCCACGTAGCAAAAATTTCCACCCTGTGGGACAGAGTAACAACCTGAAACCTCAGTGGGTAGCTTTAAATTCTTGCTCAGAAAACAAACATAACACTTTTCCTCTGAACAAGAAGTTAGGCTCTGAACCTAAATTTTGTCAGTTGTACCCAAAAGTGATGTCTTCGCACTGGTCTGCTTCCACGCCTGCCCAGCACAAACTGCTGCCGCTTCTTCCAGGAAGAGCCTAGGCTAGAAACTTGAACTGGACCATACTGAGATCAAACCCAGGCAACTGAGTCCAATGGCAAGGTGGACTCAAATCCTAATTCTAACAGGCATTTACTTTACTTTCATGTAGAACCGTTTTAGAAATTAGTTCTGAAGAAGGTACAGTATTTGAGAAAATGTTTACACAGTGTCTGGACTACCTCTGTCGCCGTGCTGATGAATGGGCACATGCCAGGAAGGACTAATAACTGAATTATGATGCACACTTCTTTAAAATTTTATTCTAAATGCTAATTACTTGATAAAGAAAGGTTTCTAGCCTTGACTAAGCCTATAGGAAATGTCTTTTAGAAATAAAATGTATTTGTGAAATACAAAATATACTGACTAATCAATATAGCTTTACAGTTTCCTTTTCAGGATCAACTGAAACTCAGTGCCCACACCCAAAACCACACATAAATTTTTAGATAATACATAGGTAGGGCTGTTGTGCATTTTTAATAAGGTTTGTGTTAGCATAAACTATAGTGTCTGAAGACTTACTGCCAGGGTATTTGATACTCTCCATCAGACTTCCTGAAGTCTAAAATCTCTGAGTAACATACAAATTAAAAAGAAAAGATAAATTCCAAGTGTCAAGCTGGGATTTAAATGAAGCCTCAGTGATTGTACCTCTTCTCAAGAGGCAGAAAGGGCTGGGTGTGGGGCCAGCTCTTGGGCTCTGTATCCAGGGCTCTCCTTGTCCTCCTGTAGCATCAGATCTTTTACAGGGTATCTGCAGGCGTCACCCACTACAATCTGTTCTTAAGAAACCAGCTGAATTAAACTAGATTTACAGAACACCTGCATTCTCATTTTTAATATACTGCCCAATATTCAAATTTTATTTTGCATGAACTACTTATGTATCTTATAAATCTATTTGCAAAGTAGGTTTAGGTTTTAGAAAGTGTTCTCAATCATTAATGAAGAATGTGCACTGCTCTGCCATTTACGTATTTTTTTCAAATTCTTTCAAAAAGAAGACTGTTTTCTTTTAGGTAATGATGAGCTACTCAGAAGACCCAACTTTGGTTTCAGCGTACAGAGTAAAGTATATTAAGACACACTGTAGATTGCAAATTTCAAATTCTAATTCCTAAGCCTCAGTTCCAAGGTGTATGTACAATTTCTATCTCTCAGCAACCAGTAAGGAACAAGCCACCACATCCAGTGTTACCTCAAAAACAGCTCATGATAAAAACAACTTGTGATCAACTGGGAGTCACAAACACCAGATGCTTCTCTAATAGGTTTTCAACTTCAAAAAAATTGTGCATAACATAGAAACATTATTTGTACTTTTAAAATATATGTAACTACTTTGTTGGATAAAGAAAAATAATGCTATATGTACATTCAAACATGACAGAGTTAAAGAGAACTGTAATAAGAATATACATTTCAATTAAGCAAAAAGAACAGTTTTAGGAGACAAAAAGTTCGTAAGTCAACTAAAATCCCAACTACAATTGTGCTTTACCTGCTCTTTTTCAAGCATATCTGCTTTACGGAGTATTTTCATTGCATACACATGCCCTGTATCTTTCTTCTGAACAAGCCGCACCTAAAAGTTATTTTAAAAATGCCAAGTTAAAAGTTCACAATGCCAAGCTAATGCTTTCATGTGTTATAGGAAGTAATATTTAAACTGAAAAAAAGTATTACAATTTTAATATAAGCAACTAGCAAGAACAAAGCAGAGGAAAACGCTTTTGATGTTCCAAAATGGATGTGTTACACCCACTGAATCAGAACTGGAAACAGCCACTCAGGCTCCCTAGTCGAACAAATCAGTCTAACTTAGAACTCGCTTTTGAATTTAAGGACTCATTAAACCCATGGCACATGTCATGCAGTCAGTTCAGAAAAATCTAAGTACATGATTACAACAATGTTTAGAGCAATAGCAAAAGCTCATGGGCAGGGAAAATGTCTTGAAGGAAAAAAACCTAAAATGCATAATTTGGGAAATGGGGTTTTATGCAGTTTTTCTTTCTCTTCTTAATTTTCCAATGATTTTTAGAATAAATAGATGAAAAGGATATGAATGATCTCCAAACCCCCCAAAAAGCTTCTTGGCAATTCCCTGCACATCCTCCCCTTCCTCTCCCGATATTCGTATGTTTTCCCCTCCCCGCACCTTTGTTTTCCTGATTAAGCCCCACATCCCTTCCTCACTGAACAGAAAGCAATTGAAAGGTGGCACTGCCCATTTCCCTCTCTTAAGGGGCCATCAGGGATTCTGAAGGCTGAGGGATCAATCTAATCTTCCACCTGTGCTTTTGAATATGCACTTACATTTCCTGAGGTATGAGTTTTCAAAGCCTTTTACACAAAGATAATGAAACTATTGCATCAGTCAGGCACCTGCTTTGGATATTTTCCATCAGGGGATGACCTTGCATGGGCTCATTCAAACCCTTCCCACCAGATTGCTCTTGTGACCAAGCAGGATGCATTTGCAAGACTAGCTGGGACAAAACTACGAATTCTTTCAACGCTCACCCTGGCTGGTTTGGCTCAGTGGTTAGTGTTGGCCTGCGGCCTGAAGCGTCTCAGGTTTGATTAGTCCTGGTCAAGGGCGCGTACCTAGGTTGCAGGTGCTCCCTGCCCCAGTCGGGGCGTGTGCAGGAGAGAACCAATCAATGTGTCTCTCACATGGATGTTTCTGTTTGTTTCTCTCTCCCTCTCCCCCTTGCCCTCCCTCCCTCTCTTCCACTCCACTCTGAAAAAGCAATGGAAAAAAATATCCTTGGGTGAGGATTAACAAAAATAACAAATTCTTTCTACTTTCCACAACTACCTAAATAACTCATCTCTACAAATCCCGTTCCCTACGGCCATCTTTTTAAAGCTGTACCAATCTGGCAGGAAGAAATAAAGAGTGGCAATTCGCTGTTTGTTCACCCCTGGAGAGGCAATGTGGTACAGCACTGGGAGAAACAAGAGCTTTAAGAGCAGGAAATCTGGGCAGACTTCTGGTACCACTGTTCAATGGCTGTGACAGGCAGCATTATATATCCCCTCTGAGTCATCTATAATATGAGTTATTGTCATGATTATAGAAGAAAAACATAGTAAATAATAAATATTGATTTCCTTCTACCTTTCAACTCTCCCTCTAGATCAATACTTAAAACATCAACATCATCTGGAAACACAGAGAACAATCCTAGAGCTGGGACAGTGCAGAGGGGAAGAGAGAAGGGCAGACAGAGCAGTTAAGATGTGGGGCTGGCATGCTTGAGCCACCTACCCCACAGTTCAATTATATCAACAATCATGAGCTCATGGTGTATTAGAAGCTTTGAATTTCTGTGGTATTTCTGTATTGGACAGGTAGCTTAGCTGTGGGGTTTTTACCTCACCAAATGCTCCTCTGCCTATTACTTTTAAGGACTCAAAATCTTCCAATCCAAGTCTTGTTCTCTTCAAACGAAGAAACTCTGTTTCTTTCCGAGCGTGTGCTGATCTCCTGAGTCGTTTCTAATGTTTAAATAAAGAGGGAGAGGAGTGGGAGGGGGAAGAACTGAAATTCTGCAACGAAGTCATATTTGTGATTTGACCCATCTGGAAAGCAGAGCCACGTCAGACTAAGCATAATCTTATCACCCATCAAAGCACCACTACTGCTCTCTTCTCCCTTCCCCAGCCTTCAGATACAATAACCAAAACACAGTGAACAGATGGGTGCTTCCTCTGAGAACTCTTCACCCACCCACCCAGCAAACCACTCTTCTAATCTTTCTAATGAAGGAGGGAAAATCAACAACATTTTCCTTTAACCTTTGTTACAGAAAAGTGTGTGTTTTTAAATTTTCCTCTGGGTTTTTTACACACTGCAGTTCATTTTGCGCTCTAGTTTTCTATTATACCTACAAGTCTGGGGTATTTTTCACCATTTTGCTGCATTTGTACTTTATTCCTATTTTTTAAAGCACTTCCACTGCCATTTCAGTTCCTCGCAGTTTCTTATTAACTGCATTTCCTCCCACCACATCTGTGGGCATTAAAGGAAAGGGCTGACTTGAGAGCTCTTTTGCCTTGATAACGATTCAGAAGTTTGTCCCACTTCTATGGAGCCTTTTCTGTGAATTCTGTAAGTATGCTGTAATTTGCTTTTTAATGTTTTTATTTGGTTTCATCTCTTCCTTTTTGTGCAATTCTAAATTAATCATAATTAACTTGTTATAACTGTACCTAGAGGAGTCTTTCTCTCCTGAGTGCTTAATAATTAACTTCTCCCTCTGCAGGAACACCTCAGTCCAGAAGCACACCCGCCCCTAAGCTGTGGTTACTGCGCCAGAGCCCTTCCCCCGCACGGCGGCGAACGACTGCGGAACATGCCGTGCCTCTGCTTTCAATTACCTCCTCATCCTTCAGGCCTTCTTCTTCCATCACTTTTTCTAACTTCTTCTGTCTAAAAATAAATAAATACGTGAAATAAGATTTGAATGATAACCTTCTGGAAAGTCTATACAAATGTAAGAATTATTTTTTTAATGACAGAAACAAGTAAATCTTAAAAGATCTCATTAAAGCAACAAACTACAGTTACTAAGACAAATGAAAAGAATCCCACTCTGTTAGTTCTACATTTTGAAACAGACTGTATAAGATGTTAATGCAACAAAGAACCTTATTTGGAAATGAAAAGTTCTCCTTTTTTCCCCTCCCTGGTAGAACTGTATTTCCTCCTTAACAAACCACAAAACAGCTGGTATTTGATAACCTCTCATGTCGGTGTTTCTCTCCTTCTCCCTGACTGACACCTACTTCCTTTATTTTCACATCTTCCGCCTCCTCCCTGCCAGAGTAATAAACAACAAAGGTAAAAGGCAGGGTCTGGATATTCAAGGGAGGTAATTGGCATCACTACAAAATTTAAGGTCTGGGGGGGCGCAGGGTGGGAGGAGGGATTGCTGGGGGAGGGGGGAGTGGAGGGAGGTGGAAGAGGGTATGAAGGGATAAAGGAAGATGGACAGAGACTTGACTTGGGGTGGTGAACACACAATACAGCGTACAGATGACGTGTTGTAGAATTGTGCATCTGAAACCTGTATAATTTCGTTAACCAGTGTCACTCCAATAAATTCAATGAAAAGGAAAAAGGAAATTAAGGACTCTAAATCCTTGGAGTACTGAAGTTAGAAACTGTATTCAAGAATATTGTTGATCTACAGTCTCATACTGATTTGATAAAACCAAAGAAAACAATTAAAGCTTCCTTACAACCAATTCCCTATAACCTTTATTTATTCAGCATAATAAATGAAAGCACATGAGCTGGAATCTCCCCTCCACCACTTACCAGCATTCCAGAAGATAGGCAATGTGTGCAGGGCAGGGAAGAACAAAAGCACAGGGTACATGAAGTAACAGCATGTGGTCTAGTGTGGCTGAGGCACACAGCACTTCTCTGTGTACCTGGCTCTTAGTCTGCAGATGACTAAGAACTTACAGAGGCTGTGCACAAAGGAGTGATGTGGTGAGGACTCTTTTTTAGAGTGGCAACCAGCAGTAATGAGCTAATGGACCAGCAGGAAAAGCAACTGACAGACTGAGGCGAATTAAAAGCTATTGTAAGGATGCAGGTGTGCAGTAAAGATCTAGAACTAGGGCTGGAAACCTAGAATGAAGTGAACACAGCTATTGCAAAGATGACCAACTGGCAGTAGGAGTCAAGCAAAGAGTCAGAATATCTTGTGTGGGAGGACAATGATGCTACTAACAAAGATCGGAAACACAGAGAGAGGAACATGGAAAGATAGAGTTTCCTTTTGGTCAATGAATATGTACTACAATAATAATATTTAGTTTAAGTGAATATGTTTTTAGAAATCATATTACAAATCCACAGCATCAAATGATGAGTAAGAATTTGTGCCTAAACACTCGAGAAATAAACAGATCTACTCTGCCCCTGATGGAAAGAAGCAAGCATCTACATGACTGCCAGGCTGCCCACATTTCTTCTAGTTCCCAGAATATGCTGGGTTATGCAACTATGTGTGCTCCCATACTGGGGANAGGCTGCCCACATTTCTTCTAGTTCCCAGAATATGCTGGGTTATGCAACTATGTGTGCTCCCATATTGGGGAGGAAGCTGCACTATTGGTAGTTTCAGGAATGTAAAGTAACTGCATTTCAGCGGTTAAACAGGTAAAGTGAGGAAGGGTAAGAGTCCAACAATCAATGGCAAGAGCTATGAGAACCCAACCACGTTCAGCTTTTTGTGCCTTGAGTATCAATATCATCGTACCTTTCGACTATTTTTTANGAGAACCCAACCACGTTCAGCTTTTTGTGCCTTGAGTATCAATATCATCGTACCTTTTGACTATTTTTTATTTTCTTAATATATCTTTATTGATTTCAGAGAGAGGAAGGGAGAGGGAGAGAAAGAGAGAAACATCAATGATGAGAGAGTCTTCACTGATCTGCTGCCTTGAGCCCACAACCCAGGCATGTGCCCTGACAAGGAGATCGAACCACGATCTCCTAGATCCTAGGTCGATGCTCAGCTGCTGAGCCATGCCCGGCTGGGCTCGACTATATATTTTCTGAATGACCACACCAGACTGGGCTAGAAGTACAAAGCGCTAACACACAATGTGTGTCCCAAAGACAGTTCCTTCTGACTACAGTTTAGTTTTAATTTTTAAAAAATTTATTGATTTTTTTAGAGAGGGGAACGGAGGGAGGGAGACAGAGATTTGTTGTTCCACTTATTTTTGCATTCATTGGTTGATTCTTGCATTTGCCCTGACCGAGGATCGAACCTGAAACCCCAGCATGTCAGGATGACACTCTAACCAACTGAGCTACCTAGCCAGGGCCTTCTGACTATATTTTAAATCTAAATTCAAACTGAGAAGTTTTCCACAGCTTTATTGCAAGTGTAATTAAACTGGTTTCAGTGGAATATTTGCCTAAGTCAAGTTGTCAGAATCAACTCCTTGAACACAATCAGATTCTTTCATTAGAGAACTCTCCAGAAAAAGCCTATTGTACAGAATTATCCCTAGTAATGATTTACTGTGGCCAAGTCAACAAAGACCTTAAAGACACCAAAAATGGCAAGCATAGCCTGAAATGAGGCTTGCAAGATACATCCTCTGTGAGATGATACCATGGAATTACTGGACTTTGTTAGATTCATGGTGGCACTGTGATTATACAAAGAAAATGGCCATATTTTTCAAGATGCAAACTGAAGTACACAGGATTGAAATGACAGATGTTTGAAATTTGCTGTAAAACACAATAACAAGAAAAAATAAAATGTAAGAGATGAAACAAATTTAGCAAAGTCTTGATAATTACTGAATCTGAGGAATGACTATATGGGGGTTCACTATATTAGTCTTTCTATCTATGTGTGTACTTAAAAGTGCTCATAATGGCCCTGGCCGGGTAGCTCAGTTGGTTAGAACGTCATCCTGATACACCAAGGTTGTGGGTTCCATCAGTGGTCAGGGTACATACAAAAATCAACCAATGAATGCATAAATAAGTGGAACAAGTCAATGTTTCTTTCTCTTTGTCTTTCTCTCTCTCTCTCAAATGGAAGGGAGGG